CCTGCAATCCATAAAAGACCTTGGATATTCTTTTAAGGAGTTCATGCCTTGAAAATCTGTAAGATATTCTTCATCTCCTATCAATTGGAGCCACATATATTAAATTTCCATATATTTCTGACTATTCATGGAACCTAACCAATCTAGACATTGAGAAAAAGAACATCTGATCTTAGGTCTTTAGACATGGATGGGAGGGGAGGTTATGAAGCTTCTTGCTCACTGTGCCAGAAGTTATTTGGGCAATAAATGTAACATTTTGAATCCAACAATCTATTCTTTTTAGCAGTTTCTCTTAAAAGTTGTGATGAAATAACTTGTATTTTTTTTCAACCCGCTTAAAGTTTAAAGAGTTTCAGAAGGGAATCAATGAAGTATTAATGAATTCTCCCAAGAAGACTATGCTTTGGCACTGAGCATGGATGGGAACTGCATCCTGCAGGGGACAGCAAGACAACTGGGCTAAAGATAGATGACAAAAGTGTCCCTGCTCCTCATATCATTGCTTTCTAAGGCATTTTTCTCTGGCATTTTTATTGCAGAAGTTGAACATACTCAAACTAGAATATAAATCATTAGCGATTATACTGACGGATTGGGAGGAATCTCCTTTTATAAAGATTGAGTAAAATATCCTGAGGCAACAAATTGTTCTTAGGAAGACCTTATGGCTATTAGAGTAGAAAACAGGAAGATAGTTCCAAATATAATTTATCAATCAGTACATGACGCTGCCTTCTGCCATATTAGTTATTTCTAAGAAGGTTTTAAATAGCAAAAACAGAAATTCAAGAATTTGTGTGTGGTGGTGCATGCCTATAATCCTAGCAGCTTGGGAGGCTGAAGTGGGAGGATAGTGAGTTCAAAGCCACTCTCAGTATCTTAGGGAGCCCTAAGCAACTCAGAGAGACCCTGTCTCTAAATGAAAACTTTAAAAGGAACGGAGATATAGCTTAGTGACTAGGTACTCCTGGGTTCAATCCCTGTCCCCCCCCAAAAAAAAAAGAATTTGTGAATTCAAGAATCATTATATGACATGTTAATTGAGACTTTGTGTACTTGAGTTCACCTTATAATACAGTAATATTTTTAATTCCATGCACTTAGCAAGCATTGACCTTGTTTCAGAGGAGATGTGGTGACATTAGGAGCACAAGGTGCTGGAGGAGTACCATGAGGGCATTTCCTTTTCCTTTACAGCTTTAGTTTTCTCATTTGTTTAAAAGCAGAACTGCAGGATTATAGATGGAAAGGTTAAGTAATTTTTGTAAAAGTCTTTGCTCTAAGCCTTTAGTCAGTATTGGTCTCCCTTCTTTCCTTTTTAGCACTTGAGATTCTACAGATATTTACCAAGTTTTAACAGTAAAGCTGATTTTTACTCTGTCTCTGAGTGTAGCCTTCTCTTTGTGGTCCTATTTGTTCTCATTTTGTCTTCTGATTTTCCAAGTATAGCTTGTTGTGTTATTGTTTATACCCCGAGGAAGAGAAGTGGCTTTCTTAAACATTTAGATGGTAAATTTAGGTTCTTGCCTGCTTAGCTGAGGGAGAAATTCCCAAGCAAGACTCAGGTTTTCTGGATGGACCTTTCCAAAGAGAATACTTGGACATTTCATTTAATTCAGCAAAGTGCTGATTCCTTAACGTTTCCTACCCCTACCCTTACGTTATTAGTCACGTTAAAACATTATTTGTCAAGTGTCTAGTTTTCTAATAGTGAAGGCTTTAATGCCCCTTATCACCAATTGCTTTTATGATGATAAGTTGGCCATTTCATGGTTTCATATATTGTCTTATTTGTTTAAGTTTTTCTTGTGAATTTATGTAACGGCTCGTTGTTTGGACACCTTAATTTTTCCCCTTGGTATAGCAACAGGGGTTTTACATATCATTTCTACTTCTGTGTCTAGTGAATACTCAATTCAATTTCCTTTTTGAATATTACAGGTAATGAATTCTTGTTTTGGAGTGGCAAGTTTTATGGTTTACCATTTTCTCAGTCTCTTTTCCCTATAATGGTAGAATCAGTTTTAATACCTCATTGTCATTAGATGCCTCTGTGCTTTCAGTTTACTTGCTGTGCATCACCTTTGTCTGTGATCTGTTTGTATGTTTGCCATACTCAGCACACGGTGAGTTCCTGGATTCCAGGAACCACATCTTATTTCTATTCATCTTTGCATTCCCCTTGCATGACAGCATGTGATACTTTGGTTGGCACTTTATAAACCCCCAGTGAGTATATTCTATGGAGATTTATTCTGACTTACTTTCTGCATTGCTCAAAGAACTAAAAATTTGTTGGGGCTCTATTTTTCATGTTTGGGGCTTGTGTACACTTATAACCAGAGTGTTTATTTGTATCCTTTCCTAATACTGATTTTCCTAATCTCCTTTAACATGATATCCGATTTGAATAACTCTGGATTAGCATAAGGATTATATATTTTCACTAATTAGCAAAGGTATTAAAACAAGAGTCCTTTGATACTGCTTGATCTACCCACTTCCCTTAGCTTCTAGAGAATTCCATTCTTGGGTTTCCTTTCTGTTATTTTTTTTTTTTTTTATCTGCCACCATCCAGATGTCTCTAAATTCAGTTCAATAATCCTATTGCTGGCACAGAAGTGCTGACTGTGTACATAGTTTATGAAGGTGGTAAATTTGACTGTGCTAGATGTGTGCGAAGCTGCATTGGGAGCACAGAGAAGCACCTTGTGGCAACCTGTAGGCGTGGGGCTGAGGGTCTGAAGAGAGGGTTAGGGAGGGCTTCAGAAAGGAGGGATTCCTAAGGAGAGAGTGAAGTGTACATGGAAATTAGTATGTCAGAGAGAGAGGGGGCTTTAAAAGCAAGAACAGAAGTACAGAATTGAGAAACAGCAGGCTGTATATGTATGTTGGGGTGTGGGGGGAGTGGAGTGAAGGTTGCTGGAAGCCAGGGAATCTAGAGTTATAATGACTGAGCACCAATGTGGAGTCAGTGCTCAGCTCAGTAGCCTTGGAAACTGGGCTATTAGATATCCATGTTCTGTCCTAGCAGTTGGAGGAAGTAGCTTCTATATAAACATACTGTCTGCATGTATTGATTTCTGGCCACAGTTCCTATAGAGTGGGGTGGTTCAGGGCATAAACTTTGTAGTAAAGTCTGAGCCCTGGCTCTGCCACTTAATTGCTGTGTGATCTTCAGAAACTGTACTCAGTCTCCTTATCACTAGTATGGAGATAATAATAGCACCTACTTCATTAAAATTGTCACTGAGGTAATAGTCACCTTTTTTCCTTTTTAAACTAAATACGTTTTTTTTTTTTCTTATAATATTATAAACTCTAAGCTTCAGGATGTGGGGTGGACTAAAAGTGAGGAATGAGGCTGGTGTTAACTTAAATCTTTCCATCCACTATTCAGAAAGATTTGAGAGCAAGAGAAGTCCAGAGAAATGTTTGCTTCCGGAGTCCTTCAGCCAGTATTTTAATATAGAGTAACTGAACAGACTTCTACTTCCTAATACTTACACTCTGAAATATGATACCAGGCCATCACTGCTTGTTATGCAAATTGTCACACACAAAGATTTTGTGAAGAATTAATCTTACTATTATTTCAAGGTATTTTTCCCTCTTAAAAATATTACTTGGGCTGGGAATGTGGCTCAAGCGGTAACACGCTCGCCTGGCATGCATGGGGTGCTGGGTTCGATCCTCAGCACCACATAAAATAAAATAAAGATGTTGTGTCCACCAAAAACTGAAAAATAAATATTAAAAAATATTCTCTCCCCCC